TCACGGCGAGCGGTGCGCCGACAGCATCGGCAAGATCCGGCAGTGCGCCTCGCCGTGCAAGGCGCGGGATGCCGAGAGAGAGAGAGCTCGCCGAGAGACCGCCGAGAGAGAGTACCGAGAGACGGGCCAGGTTCCGCCGAGATGTGGCCAAATCACCAGAGTGGAGGGCGGGGGGCAGGGGGGGGGGGGGGGGGAGGCGGGGGAAGAGACGCGGAGGCGGAGGCAGAGGGGAGAGGGCCCGGAGGGGCGGGGGGGGGAGATCGCGGCCGCCAAAAAGCACCGCAGCGGCGACCTCTCCGCGTCGGCTGCGGTCGTCAGTTGCGGCCCACAGCGGAGCATGGGGATTCCGTGATAGACTGTCAGCCACGCCTTGCTTGTTCGGCTGACAGCAGAAGAAGCCTCACACATGCGCACGCACGACACACGTGGCGAGAGCCTCCCACCCACCCCCTCCCTCCCCATATGGAGCTGCTCCGAGTTGCTTTCCGTGACCCCCCCCCCCCCCCCTCCCGCAGCTGGTGTTTGACCTGCCCGACGAGATGGCGGACGCCGTCGTCGCCGCCTTCGACGCCCTCGCCGCCACAGACGGCGGCGAGGACGGGGCGGCGCGCCCTTCCGGCCGCCGCCCCACCCTCCTTGACTCGGGCGTCCTCTCCATCTCCGCGTGCGCAGAGCTCCCCGAGCTGCGCCCGCTCGGCGGCCGCGGCGGCGGCGGGCGCGGCGGCGGCCGCGGCGGCCGATTCGGAGGGCGCGGCCGCGGAGGTGGGTACCCAGGAGGCAGCAGCCGCTCGGGGTACCGCGGCGGCGGAGGCCGCTCGTACGACGACCGCGGCGGATACCGCGGCGGCGGCGGAGGAGGAGGGTACCGCGGAGGCGGCGGCGGCGGCGGCGGCGGCTACCGTGGCGGCGGTGCGCTCCTCCGCTCTCTCGGCCCTCGGCCCGCTTCCCCCTCCCCCGGCTGTCGCCCCCTCTGACGGCCTGCTGCCGTCGCGCACAGGCGGGTACCGCGGCGGCGGGGGCGGCGGCTACCGCGGCGGGGGCGGTGGTGGAGGAGGAGGGGGGTGGCGCGCCCGCGGCGCGGACTGAGGATGAGCCGCCGCCGTTGTTCTCCCGTGTGCCGCATGGTGTGCCTGTCTGGTTTCTGCGCATGCCCCTCCCCCGATCCCCTCTCAACCCGCTGTGCCCCGGTGCCGTACCCGGGCCGCTCCAAGCGACGTGCTCGACCCCCTACGTGGCTCAGCCCTTGCGCCCGCGGTCCGATGTGTGCGAGGAAGACCATCTCTTGTGACTGCGACATGCCGGGGTGTGGGTAACCTGGCTATGGGCGCCGGCGCCGGCACGCCGCACGCTCGCGCTGGGCGGTCGAGGGGATTTAACCACGCGTTGAATTTTCTTGTTTTGCACTTTCTCGCGCAGAAACGCGAGATTCCCAGGCGCTGTGGCGCTCTGCCTCTGGCTAGTCCGTACGGGGTGTGGAGGGTGAGTTGAACAGGGGGTTGTGCGCCGGGCCCTCCTGCTCCGCCGCAGGCGCCTGTTGATAGGTCCATGTGATAGCCCTGGATGGGCAATGCATACGCCTCACTGGACCTCAGATCGCCCGACCGCGTCCCGGTGCTCTGCCGTCGGATTTGTGACGCCGCCGCACCGCGCCGCGGCCGGGGGCCCTCCGGAGGCCGAGGATGGCCGTGGCGGACCGGGACGAGCTCTGGGAGGGGGGGTGTCAGTGAGTATATTGTAGAGACTGGCCATGTGCACAATAACTCTCAGTCTAGCTAAGCGAGGGGAGGCGATTCCGGGGCCGTACAGCAGCTTGACGTGCTTCGCCGGCGTGCGTCCCGGAGCGGTGCCGGAGCGCGGCGAAATCGAGGGACACCGTCACCGACGAGCGCGTTGGACTTTTCACTCCGGACAAAGACGGCGACACGCACACGAGCTGCGGCCGTGTCGCCGTCTTAGCGGCGAGGCGCGGGACCGTCTGTGGCGAAGTGGGTCGCGTCCCTCGATTTCGTTCAACCCAGCATCCACACCCTTTAGGCTAGTGCCAAAATGGTTTCACTCTGTGTGACACGCGCTAATATGTAATATCTTGAACCCACGTCTCTCCAACGGAGCTCCGTGTTGCTCCCAGCGCCCTCCCCCGCGCTCCCTGCGGCCATGGCCGATGACACTAGTATGGGAGGTCATCTGGCTACCGCGAGAGCGACCCAACTCGTCGACATCGTCCTCGATGATGGTGCCGCAAAGTCAGCCTCCGGAGGCTATCCGGTGGGGCCTCGAGCCGGCAGTAGCCGTGACATGTGGTTCCACCACCCCTCGTAGGCTTTGCCTCTGACCGCCACCGTTCCCAGGCTGCCTAATGGGATGGAAAGGAAGGCTCGGCGAGCGTATAGAAGCGTGCTCGACCTCGTCGTGGCAACCTGTACGGCAGCGCTGGTAGGCGCGATGAGCGTCGTGCCACCTGACCCGAGACGGGTCGCAGGCGTCGTACCGAGCGCGTCGAGACCGTGTCCTGATGTGATCTGCACGGATGAGTCACGTCGGCGTCAAAGGAGCGACGTGCGACCTGTCAGAGCTTGATCTCCGATCTCAGCGGCGTCGAGTCGCCTTCGGCGGCGACACTTTTGTCCCTCCCCAGGACGCGCAGAGGCAGCTGCGACCCCGCCGAGTGGACGGCGTCACACAGCGCCACCTGCTGTGTGCAACCGTCTACTCGGCGGGTACGCAGCTGCCTCTGGAAGGCACCGACATGTACAAAATGGCGCAAATGGTCAAATCAAGGTTTTGTAACGCGAGCTGTGTGTCCCAACCGGGGGTCGCAGACTGGTTCTGCGCGCCAACGGCTGGTGACGCTGTGTTGCCCTTGAGCTAGTCCTTCCCCGGTCGCCTAGCCTCTGCGCTGTCTGGCGAACGCCTGTATGCCATGCGCGCGGACCACGCTTGCGTGGATACGTGGCTGGCAGGCTGACCCGTGTGCGGGGTAACCCGCGCACGGGGAAGCTTCACGGGTTCGAGTCGTCAAACATTAAGCAGCGGAGGTATGCCGAGGGGGACCGGGAGGCGGTAAGTCGTCGTCGCCCGGCGCTGCTTGCAGCACCATGGCGATGGCGCTTCCTAAGAGGTTCCTCTTTTCCGCGCCCCCCCCGCAAGGCGCGCGATACACACACACTGTGCCACCCCCCACAGTGAAATGGCACTAGCCTCTCGATACGATCGCGTCAACCTCGACGTCGCTCCCATTTAAAGAAAAGGAGCAGCGGAGCACTTGGAGGCAGTCATTAGCCTCACATCCAGGGCCGGGGAGCACTTGGAGCACTTGGAGTGCAGTCATTAACCCTCACATCCAGGGCCGGGGAGCTGAGAAGCGCACCCAGCGGGCCGGATGATCGGCATCGGGTTACGGGCTAGAGAGCCCTAGCCCCGGGGGTACGTGCGCGTTCGCAGGGAAAGGGCCGTAAAGTAAACACGGGTCTCCGAGGGTTGGTTCCGTGTACTGGGTTTCCCCTTAACTGCAGAACGCCCCCTCTACTCGGAGCTAACGGACACACACGCGTCTCCACCCGTACCGCGTTGGCAAGGAAATGCAATATCGGGCCCGGCAGGAGCACGCGCTCTGCCAGTGGGGGGTGCCTGTGGCGTCGCAAAGGCCCGCGAGCGACGCCGAGTCGATCTGTCGACGGTGAAACTCTCCAGGAGGAGGGCGTTTTCTTGTTTACTTCCAGTCCACCTCGCCCAGGGTCCAGGAGCCGTCGTGTACGGTCCGACACCGAGCTCTTGTAATGATGGCGAGAGTGTTTTCTTCTTTTCCTGACGACCGAAAGAACAATTTTCTGATGGTGTTCTGCGCCGCCTTTTGCTCTCTCGCCACCGCAGAGCTCTCGCCCGCGCTGCCGCCGCCGTCGCTGCCGCCGCCGTCTGCACCCTACTATGAGGTTAGCAGCAAGGAGCAGCTTTTGGATATCTTCAACGAAAGCCGCATGGAAGCGAGCGTGAACGTCGTTGTCGCATCTGGCACAATCATCGGGTTGAAGACGCGGCTCGAATGCAACCAGGAGATCACCGTGACCATCCGTGGCAGCGGCGAGGGCGCGACCTTCGACGGCAAGGAAGAGATCGGTCTCTTCAAAGTGTCTGGCGATTGCAGCCTCACGCTCGAGCGACTCAACCTCGTCAACGGGAAAACAAGCGACGGCGGCGCTGTTTTCGTAAAGGACGGCAACGTCAATTTGATCGACTCGACTGTCACCAATTGCAAGGGCGACTGGGGCGGAGCCTTGTACGTCGATAATTCGGGCGTCGATAATTCGGGCCAAGACTACAAGGTACGAGTGGAGGGCTCCACGTTTACCAGCTGCTATGCTGAAGACGAGGTGCGCCGCCACGTAGAGACCAGGCCCATTAGCACAGAAGTGACATCCGCCCCCACGCCCAACGCAGGGCGGCGCAGTGTACGTGAAAAAGGGCGAGGTGAGCCTTAGCGTCTCCGAGATTTCGGACTGCCGCGCCTATTTCTCTGGTGGCGCAGTGTACGTGCAAAGGGGCGAGGTGAGCCTGATCGACTCCAAGATAAGCAGCTGCTCCGCTGAAGAGGTTCGCATCGTGAATGAGTTAGAACCCAGTAGCGCAGGAGTAGTGACCCCCTCCTGCCTCCCCGCAAGGCGGAGGGCGGTGCAGTGTTCGTGGATCGGGGCAAGGTGAGCCTGATCAACTCCGAGATCTCGGACTGTCACGCCGAGGACATTGGTGGCGCTTTGTGCGTGTGGGGCGGCGAGGTAAGAGTGGAGGGCTCCACGTTTACCAGCTGCTCTGCTGACAAGGTGCGCCATGTAGAGATCCAGGCCAGTAGCGCATATGTGACATCCGCCCTGCATTGGGATCCAGAGGTGACATCCGCCCCCACGCAGGGCGGCGCAATATACGTGGAGGAGGGCGAGGTGAACCTGATGGACTCCGAGTTTAGCAACTGCTCCGCTGCCGAGGTTCGCATAGTAGGTAGAGTCCAGTAGCGCAGGAGGAGTGACACCCGCCTCTCCGCCTAACGCAGGGCGGCGCCTTGAGCGTGATGGGGGGCGAGGTGAGCCTGATCAACTCCGAGATCTTAAGCGGCAATGCCACAAAGTCTGGCGGCGGCCTCTACTCGGCGGGCGGGCGCACCAGATTGAGTAACAGCACCCTGATCAGCAACTGCTCCGCACCGGAGGGTCAGGGGAGCTCCATCTTCCTTCTCGGGGGCGGAGTCTCCTACACCCTCCCCGCCCCAGCCGGCCGCTGGCTGCCAAACGCACACTGCGAGGTGTACCGGGAGGCGTGCACTTACCCTTACATCTGCGAATATCTCAGCGAGGGAGTTTGCAGGGGGCGCACGCAGGCGCCTCAGCAAACAGCTTGCCTCAAGCACCGCGGCGATTGCGCGCTCACGGAGAGCGATGCGATCGAGCCCTCGTCGGACGAGAAGCACGCGGCTTGCAGCAGACACACCGAGAACGACAAGCGGGCTTGCAACGTCACCGAGTTGTGGTCAGAACGCGACCTTCGTGCAGCTGTGCAACTGGGATAGCAAGCGGGGCGGCGACCCTGCCCTCCTCGGCGAGAACCTCTACCAGCTGCCGCTGCTGCCCGTCGAGCAGGACTTCCCCTTCGCCTGCGCCGCCGGCCTCCTCGGCTCGACCGACCCGAAGCACCAGTCGAGCAGCAGTTGCGCAGGTCCCTGTCCCGCAGGCTCCAAGTGCCCTAAAGAGGCGACTTATGAGGCGCAGCCCTGCGATGCTGGCCGCTTCTGCTCGAATGGGACGAGCGTGCCCATTCCCTGCCCCGATGGGTCGTACTCGAACGCGACTAACCTCTCCGCCAAGGACGAGTGCACCGCCGCCGATCCGGGCTACTTCGCCACCGCGGGTTCGACGCAGCAGACGCCGTGTTCCAAGGGCAGCTACGCCGCCACCGGCGGCCTCTCCGAGTGCGCGCAATGCGAGGGCGGGACGTACCAGAACGACACGGGCGCGACGTCCTGCCTCGCGTGCGAGAGAGGCAGCTACTGCGAGGTGGGCGCGTCGACGCCGCTGCCTTGCGACGCTGGCAGCTACTCGGACGCGACCAACCTCACCGCCGCGTCCGAGTGCACGGCCTGCCCCGCCGGCAGCGCTTGCTCCACGGGCAGCATCAATCCGACGCCGTGCTTGCCTGGGTTCTACGCCGCAAAAGAGGGGCAGTCGAAGTGCGATTCTTGCCCTCCCGGCACCTCGTCGGATGAGGGCAGCGACTCGTGCAGCGAGTGCGAGGCTGGCCGTTACGCCGCCAACGCCGGCCAGGGCCTGTGCATCCCATGCCCTCATCCCCTCAGCTCGGTCAACGGCAGCACCACCTGCTCGTTTTGCATGGAGGACTACTACTTGCTGACCTCGGCCGACCCGAACGACATCTTCACCTCCCCGACCGAATACTGCGAGCCCTGCCCGCCGAACGCTAGCTGCCCGGTCAATACCACCCTCGAGACCCTCGTCGTTACGCCCGGCTTCTGGCGTGCCAGCCCCTCCTCCGCCGTGCTGACAGAGTGCCGCTCCTTTGGCAGCGATGACAACGCCAGCAAGACGCGATGCGCCGGCAGTGAGTCGACAGGCGGCAGCGAGCCGACAGAGCGCCGCCGGAGGATGGAGGATTGGCACCCGGACGTTTACTGCGCGTCGGACTTTAAAGGCCCCGAGTGCCAGCTCTGCGCCGCGGAGAATCACTACCTCGTCGACGATGGGTACACCTGCGAGGAGTGCGCTCCGCGCGGCGCGGCGGCGGGTCGCATCATCGGCCTCGTCCTCGGCCTCTGCGTCGCGTGCGGCCTGGCGGCGTATTGCTACAGCATGGCGGACTGGCGGGAGAAGCCCTACATCGGCCCTATCCTCCGCTTCGCAGACCGCTCCGTCAAGTACTACGTCGGAGGCGGAATGACGGCCAAGGTCAAGATCCTGCTCGGATTCTACCAGATCAGCACCGTCCTGTCCTCCACCTACTCGGCGCGGCTGCCCCCAAAGTACACGGGCTGGACCGACACGCTGGCCAATGCGATCTCTATCGACTGGTCTGGCTTTTTCCTGCCGCAGCAATGCCTCGGCTACGACCTGCGACTCCTCGCCATCGCTCTCTCCCCCGTCGCCCTCATTACACTGCTAATGGTCGCGGGGATAAGCCTGCGGCTCCACCGCTGGCGTGCTGCCCCTGCGCCGCGCGAGAGATCGTGGTACGCGGAGGCGGCCCTCGGCCTGCTCGATCTCACGCCGGCCGGCCTCGTGCTCATCTTCTGCTTTGTGCCCTCCATCAGCGCCTCCATCTTCCGCTCCTGGTCGTGCCAGGCGCCCTCTCACAGCTGATGACTGCCGCTGCTCACAACCCCACCCCGCCGGCCTCAGTCCTCGCGATGTTCTGCTGATAGGCCTACACCATCTCTCCGCCCAACGAGCCCCTGCAGCAGGTCTCCTACATGCGGCAAGACGCGAGAGTCAAGTGCGGCACCGAGGAGCACAGGTCCATCACCGACCTCGCCACCGGCTTCATCGTCCTCTGGCCCGTCGGCTCGCTGGTCCTCTTCACGTCGCTCCTCGCCGCTTGCTACAAGCCGCTGCAGGCCAAGACGCCGAATGCTTTGACGCGTGCCACCGCCTTCCTCCACCGGGAGTACGAGAAGACCTGGTACTGGTGGGAGGCGGTCGAGCTGGCGCGCAAGCTCGTGCTCACGGGCTTCGTGCTGCTGATCCCGGAGGAGCGAGCCTTTGTCCGCCTCGTGGTGGCGACCCTCATCTGCTCCTTCTACGCCGTCGTGCTCGCCGTCGTGCGGCCCTACAAGCGGGTCGAAGACGACGTGCTGGCCGTCGCCACGAGCCTCGTCCTCCTCCTCCTCTTCCTCGGCACCAACTGGACCACCATCTTCCTCGGCATCGAGGAGCGGTACCCGCGCGCAGAAGCGGCCGCCGCCCTCCTCGGCTTTGGCAAACTCGATGTGATCGTCAACACGATGATCATCCTCGTCGCAGTCGTGCTCGTCTTCTTCTCGATCGGTGCCATCGTTGCCGCCCGCCGCGTCGCCAAGATCCCCACGATCCGGCTCGTCTCGACCAAGCAGCCCCCAGAGCTCACCATCGCGCAGGGCCTCACGTGGCACCTCTTCCTCTCGCACATATGGTGAGTCAAGCAGCTAGGAAGGGTGATGTCCAGACCGCAAAATCCAAACCTGCCCCTAACCATGTAGGTCGACCGGTCAAGACGCTGCCGGGGTCATCAAGAGCGAGCTGCAGCTGCTGCTGCCGAGCATCAAAATCTTCCTTGACGCGCCCACATGCTGCTCAGCCGCATTGCGTTCACAGCGACACGGCGCCTCTAAGCTGCGCATGCGTACTTAGGTGGACAATTTAGAGGACATCGGGGCGCTGGAGGAGTACATCCGGCGCACGCAGATGATCCTCTTCTTCCTCTCGAAGGGCTACTTCCGCTCTCAGGCGATCGCTCGCCGCCCTGCCACGCCTTCCCAACCCAACCCGAGCCGTGTCTCTCGATGCTCTTCGCGGCTCACCTCACGCCCCTCTGCGCGCGCCGCAGAACTGCCTCCGCGAGATCCGCTCGTCGCTCGAGCAGAGCAAGCCGATCGTCCTCGTCCAAGAGGCGGACCCTGCTAAGGGCGGGACGCTGGAGGAGCTGCGGGAGTCGTGCCCCGACGAGTTGCAGCCGGACATCTTTGACCAGGGCCGCACGATGACGACGTGGTATCGCATCGAGGAGTTCCAGCGCGTCTCGCTCAAGACCATCGCCGAGGCGCCCCGCCGTCGTCCACACGGCTCGTCCACCGCCCAGCTCATGGTCACCTGAACGTGTCCCGTGTGCTGACCAGGCGGTGCTCCTCTCCTCGCCCGGCTTCGTGGGGCAGGACGCCCTCGGCCTCTACGTGCCGGGCGAGCCGCGCATCCACTCGTTCGCCCTTGCGAAGCCCGTGACGCTCTGGGCCTCGCCGGCCAACGCGGGCGCGGCGGAGCTGGCCGACGAGCTCGCCGCCGCCTTTGCCGGCCTCACCGTCTCGACGGCCGAGGAGCCCTCTTTTGCTTCCCGAGCTTCTGGCCCCTGGTCCACTCGCCGCTCGGCGCCGCGCCGTGCCGGCGACGCGACCCACATGCTGCTCTACCTGAACGAGGACACCTTCGTCAGCGACGAGCGGCTGGCCGAGCAGGTCAGGCAGGCGCGGGAGGATAAGCTGAAGATCGTGATGGCGCACGAGAACGACCTCGACAAGGGCGGCGTGCCCTTCTCTCGCTTCTTTGAAACCACGCCGCAGGAGCGATTGTCTAGCACGACGTCATGTCGGCCATCCCCCGTTTCCCATGCCCCTCCACACACCCCCCCCCCCCTCCCCCTTCCACTGCACCGCAGGAGCTCATCGCCGGAGGCCTCTACAAGGACCTGGCAAAGTCGTGCTTCCCGGGGCGTCACCACGAGGCGGCGGCGGTTCCGCCCTCTGCGTGCCATTTCCCCCGCCTGACGCCCCGCGGTGTCGCTCTCTGCCTCTCCTAGGTGTCGCTCGTGCTCCTGGCAAAGGGCCTCGGCGCGACTCCGGTCCGGCCGACGGTGGACCTCCGCCATTGGAAGAGCCTCGTCTGCCGCGCCGTTGGCGGCCTGTTTGAGCGGACGGTCCGCGACCGCGGCGACGTCAGCGAGACATCGGCGGGGCAATCCGTCTAGCTGCAGCCATAGGTACAAGTCAGTCCACAAGGATAGGGGGTGCGCAGCGCCCCAAAATCCACCACTGTGGGATTTCGCGCAATCGCTTGACTCTGAAAAGCTCGCCTATCCCTGCGGTGAGCGCTGTGGTCGCCGCAGACTAGCTCCGACTTGACGGGGGCATGGAGACGTGATGCCTCCATGCCCCCGTCGAGTCAAAATCGACATGCGAGGCGATCTTTGGCCCGCCAGAGGGAAAGGCGGCGTTTTGGGCGACAAACAGCGCTGCGACCGCGAAGTGGCGGTGGACATGCTCCCATGTTGCCGACGCGGCGCCGGAGTGGCCGGCGCTGCTCACCATGACCACGACGGCTACTCTGATACTCCGGGCCGACCCGTCCTACCCGACGGTGGCACTCTTCCACGTCTCGCTCACGCTGAGAAAAATTCTGAAACGGCGTGCAGCAGAGTCGCCGACGAGTCGGTCCGCGTGCTTCCTCGTGTCCCGCACCGTTCTCACACATCCATAAACTCACTTTGGCCTCACTGAAGCGATGCCTCAATCCTGAATCCTCAGATTTTAGATTAGGGACGCTGCGCACCCTCTAACAAGGAGACGGGGGCTGTGTTTTTTCTATGAACAGACGCTGTCGCGCGAAGGACATCGCGCTGGGGAATGACCGTCTCCCCCGCCTTTGCCGAGCGTCCCTCCTCCGCGACACGTCGAGTAGTACAGGTATTCCGTGGGGGCGGTGTGTGTATTCTCGTTACAACTGCGTATTCTCGTATCACTGGCTCCGAGTAGAAAAAGAAAGAAACTCCGAGTGTCTAGTGTTTATTAGCTCCGAGTAGAGTTAGGGGGCGCTCCGCTGCTAGGGCGTAGGGGAAACCTGGAGCGCGGACTAACCCTCGGAGACCCGTGAAGCGTGATTACTTTAAGGCCCTTGCCCTGCCCCCTGCGAACGCGCACCGGCCCGGGGCTAGAGGGCTCTCGTGCCCGTAACCCGATGCCAATCATCCGGCCCGCTGGGTGCGCTCCTTAGCTCCCCGGCCCTGGATGTGAGGCTAATATGACTGCACTCCAAGTGCTCCAAGTTTGCGTCTGCACTCCAAGTGCTCCAAGTGCGTGAATCTCACGACACCGGGCCCATCCCTCCCTTGGGTTGTCTGTTTTCTTTTTTCTTTTTTTACCGGGTACGGGACTGGCACTACAAAGGACACTGCGGGCGGACCCTTTACGGCTCTACAGATCACAGATCACACAGCGCCAGCGGACGAGACAGGTTCTAATAGAAGCCGTCGTCCTCACAGAGAAGAGGCGTCGTCGGAAAAAGAATTTACGCTGCCACGACGGAAAAAGAATTCAGCGCGTAGTTCCCATCCCTCTTTTGGGTTGTACTTTCTTTCGAACTGTGACTGGCCTTTGGCGGCCGTGTCTAGGCAGTTCAGACAGTGAGAGCGAGCGGGCTCTCAGTCCTCGTCCTCGCCCTCCTCCTCCGGCTCCACCGTCTTTGCGAACTTGGGGTACGTGCCCGCCGTCGGGTCGGCGCCGGTCGGCTGGTTGTGAGAGTAGGCGGGCGTGACGTACAGCGGCTGCTCCTCGGCGATCTTTGCGTACCTGACCACACAGCGGGCGGGCGTGAGAAGGCCTCCCCCCCCCCCCC